TGCTCTTCAATGCACCCTGTCACACATACACCTCACTATACACAATACACCTCAATGTACAATCGACAAAAATGCAAATGAGAATGGCAACATTAATCTTCACAAAAGTAGCTTTCTCTCAAGGCCTTGAGTGTCCTGGGAGCCTCCTAGCTTTAGTACCCGGCTAACATTGGTCTAACTTAAGCCCACCTGCCATATGCTAATTAACAAAAACACGGAATCTAACTTAAATAAAGCATCATGCTGTATTTTATTCATCTACCTCACACATTCTACTAGCGACTGCCCGCTCGTTAAATGTTAAAGCGACCTAAAGCCATCAGGTGTTAACTAAGATAAGCAGCTAATGAATGACGCAGCATCTTAAAAAGGCCACTTCCCCAGCCGACTACTCACCGTCCTGTTTGAGAAATAAATGCAACAATAAATGATTGCAGCAGAGTCATTCGATGAAACGGAGCTGGTTACAGAAGGCTGGCTCCACCGCTCACAGCTCGGAAGTGAAGCGGACAATGGCGCGCTCCAACAAGGACCGATGTCACAACCCGATCTGCATTGCGCATGTGCGGGATGGTCCGCCATACGGCAACTCAAATAGGACAATTGACACAGTGGCGTTTGGCAAAGCAGAAAAAGAAAACAAAAAAAAAACGAGAATATTAAACTGAACGAGAGAGATGAGTTAATGTTATTACAACGTGACTTCACTATTATTTAACAACTCCTTTTATTGGGTTGAGTACATTGTCAGAATAAGTGAGAAATAGATTTAACTTCTGTTAGACAGCTATCGGGTAGTGACAGTGACAACGGTCACAACCAAGTCGACCTGCTAAGACACTTCCGGACGAAACATTCAAAAATAAAAGCACAACAAAATATTTCAATATGACGCAGTCAATAAGAAAGAACATGTTAACAGTGGTGGAAGAAGTATTCATATATTATTTGCTTAAGTAAAAGTTATACTACAGTGTAAATACTCAGGTACAAATACAAGTCCTCCAATCAAATGTGTACTTAAGTAAAAGTTCCAAATTAAAAGCATCAAAGAATACTTAAAATACCAGAAGTAAAAATACTCAATTTGCAGAATGTCCTATTTAAGCACCATATATTTTGTATTATTGTATTATAATTATTGATGGATTTATGATTTCATTGTTGCACTTGGTAAAAGTGGGGTTTATTTAAATAATTTCATATATTACTGGGTAGCTTAACGTACAATGATGATAATAACGATGATAATGCATTAGTTGATTTATATGTTTTATTATAATCTAACACTGCAAAGTAACTATTAACTAAATATGAACAAATAAATGTAGTGGAGTAAAAGTATAAAGTAGCATAATGTGGAAATATCTAAGTACCCACATTTTTTACTCAAGTACTTGTATTTAATGTTATAGGTACATATATATACTGTTTGATTGTTCATAGCGTGTGATTTATGTTACTTGCTTTAATGTGGTCCAGATGGATTTGTCTCCTTAAGTAATATCAATAGAAATGTTATCATTCATGTAGTGTTTGTAGTTCTCTTGAACCATTCATGTGAACTCTAGAACTGTTGATCCGTTATACTTAGCTGCTGAAATTGGATAGGCATGAACAGAACCCACAGAGATAGTTCTCTTCACATTGTAGATTAGAAGACCCTTGTGTTTTGTCTGTCTATGGCACTCTCCATGTTAGACATTATTTCAAACCGAAATGCTGCAATCCAACTCCATACATTTTAAACTAAAATAAAAACAATCAAATGCCTTCAGTATAATTTCTTTTATTGAAGATAAGTGCCATGTATTTCACATAAACACCTTGAAATTACAACATAACCCTTCTGCCAGGGTTTTCAACTAAAAGGCATCTACTCCAAATCCTCTTGTGGGGACTGACTACTTCATTAACAGTGCAAGTCAACTTCAATGAAAGGTGGAAGAAAGGAAACAAATCGCTGTAAAGCCTGTGTTCTGCACTCTTGCCTGATAAATGACTCAAAAAAGGCTTGATGCCAGCAGCCAGGGACTAAACTTCCAGCATAACAACAATTCAAAAAAGTTGAAGTCCAGATTTCAGCTTGTTAACATCACTGTGGTTCCAACGGAGACCATCAGCTGTTCTCACTGATGCAGAGACCGCAGAGGCAGTGTGTGTCGTACTGCTGTCCAACTCCACCGGCTGGTCAAAGACATTCATTGTTGAGTAGTTTTCCACCATGAGGCATGATGGGTCATCTGACTGTCCAGGTACTTTACCAAGAGGATAGTTCTTCCACAGAACCTTATCGTTGCACACCTGCCATGGAGAACCTCGGAGCAATTTAGCCTTTTCAGCCTGAGCATCCGCCCATTTGTGCTCGGAGGAGGACTCACTCCTTCTCTCCGCGTCAGACGTGGAGCGCCATCGCTGGCTGTGGCGCAGCGACTGCTGCAGCTTCTCATGCAAACTCTCCAATGTGTATATGGGCTGTTGTTTGTGCTCCAGAAAAGTGTCACATTCAGAGTGGCCAATTTGTGTGTAGATGGAGCAGAGCTGGAGCAGCCTCTGTCGGGTCTCCAGAGGGAGAGGATGCTCCATGTCGTCCAGGATTAACTGCAGCAGGTGAGGCGTGCTGACACAGGGAGCATCCAGGCACGCCGAGAGCAGCTGCTGCCACCTCAGCTGGATGCGGTTCACAAAGATCCTTTCCTTCATTCTGGTCTTCTTCTGTCCCTTCGTTTCAAAATGGTATTCAAATTTGTTGCTGTTGCAGAGAATGATTTCTGAAATCCAACTAGAAATGTAGAAAGCCCTTTGATTATTATTCTGCTCTTTGGCGAGCTGCTTCAGTTCAACAAACAGCTTCTCCAGGAGCACGTGAATGAAGGACGGGGAGTTGAGCACCTTCACGAGGGGCAGCCAGAAGCGCAGTAAGTTTTGAGGGAGTCTGAGCTCAAAAGGACCAGCGCTGTCAAAAGAGTCACAACCTAACGTTTCCAGCTGTTCAGCAGTAGGGACTAGAAATCCATCTTCGAGCAACACGTCAATCAGCAGGTTACTGGACTGCAAAGCAAACTGCTTGATCTCACCTAGCAACCAGCTCATGTCTGCAAAGGGGGGTGGCGACATGTTCTTCTCTTTGTCTTCAGGAAGCCCGTCAAAAGCCTGGTACTGCTCCTTCTCATAAGATATCAGCAGCTCCCGTGCATTCTTGTAGGCTTCCATTTCTTTTTGCCTTGCAATGAGCTCCGCCCCTTTCAGGTCAGCCTCCTCATCCTCTCCATCAGACTCTGACTCCCAGTCCTCACCGGGCCCTCTTCCCAGCTGCCTGGACCAGTACTCATGCTGGAGCCACTCCAACACCACCTTGCATCCCTTTCGACACCACTGCAAGGTGGGAAGCTTCCTGTGGGTGAAGTCATGCCTCAGGTCGACCACCCACGCTGGGATGTTCAGGTTCCCAGCCAGCCGCCTCAGAGGACGGGCTGTTTTACCCTGCTGTCTCTCAGTGATCAAATTGACGAACCTAATAATACATAAATAAGAATAGCAATTATTAAACAAATTACAAGAAATTGGTTAAACAATAATAACTTAATTAACTCACAATGGAATAATCTAGAAAATGAAATGGAAAAAATAACCATGAGAATCAAAAACCAAGAAATCTTTGATGAACGATGGGAAAACGTAAAAGTTATAAAACATATATAATGTGTTGTTAAAATGTGACAGTCAATCCATTATGTGTAAACTTATAAGTAATTATCAATGTGTGTTTTGTTTCTTTATTCTCTTTTCCTTTATTGGATTGCTATGTAGATGTTGTATGCAGGACTTGTAGTAACAACAAATGTTTATTTTGTTATGTATGCCTCGTAATCAAATAATGTGTTCAAATGTAAAAAATGGTCAAACCTCATCAGGGCGGCTCCATAGAGCAGGACCAGGTCGTCTCCGTCCAGCTGGCCCGACCGGTCCAGCACCTGGCACCGAACCAGGTCCGCCGTGCAGTCCACCGCCACCGGGCTGCTGTTGGCGTACCGGCCTCTCCAGGCTGAGATCCGCTGCAGGGCGTACCTCTGTAGAGCGGGATCCTTGGAGTACAGGTACTCCAGAACCTGGTCCCACTCAGCCTTGTTGGTCCATGCCACCACATGGCATCTTTTCTCCGCGCTCCTTTTCTTCATGTTATCGGTGTTAGAGGCGGTCGGTCGAACAGGTTAACAATTTACACACATATCTCTCCAGAACGCAGAGAAACGGGAATCCTGACGGCCATTAAAAACAATACCAGCTCTAGTCGTAGCGTGGAAGTGTTCGGTTCGGATTGTATCGCATCCCGGAAGTGACGTCCCCTTCTTTAGTGTAATGGCGGACTACTCACCAACGTTGAAGGTATGTGTCGCCACCTGCTGCACCGGAGGACAACTTTGGTGCCTGTGATGAACCTGTGATGTTCGTATATTTAAAACATCCATTTGTTTCTGAACTTGTTTGTCTTCTGTCTCTAACAGCCATTATGGCTCATATCATGGATGTGTTGAGTTCCACTTTCTTCGCCACGGAAATGTCATGTTTAGTATTCTTCAACTAAATAAGCGTACTCCGTACTAGATATAATAATAATAATCCGAAATGCATTTATCTTGTGAATTGTATCTCCTATTGCCACGTTTAACTTTCAGGGGGTTTATTTATTTAATAATGCGACATGTATTTGACAGTATGTTATATTCAAATTGGCAAGGTTTATCCAACAGATGGAAATAAAAAGGGCTGTGAAATATTATTATTAAATGAATAGAAGCAGTCTTTTAAAAGAACATGTATTTACACGAAAATTAAGTAATATATTATTATTTATTAATTTCAAAGTTTCAAGACAACAATATATTTCAAATAACAATGAATAATAATAAAATATATAAAATGAAATAATGAATATATGAGTAGTATATAGTATATTTTATAGTAATTAATTACATCACATTACACTAGCTGCAAAAAAATGGTATGTAGATTAGTAAATGTTTACATTAAGTGTGTAGAATGGAGTTGAGCACATGCTTGACAAACTGTTGATTTGCTGATGGTGTGGCGAGGCGAATCAGACGTATTCAGAGTAAGTAACAACACTACATGTTTCTATTTTCCCGTTTACAGTCATAAAACCTATTTTTACAACCGTCGTTTTGGCGTCAACTTTTACATTATACAGTCGGCAACTTCAGTCTGCATAAAGTTAGCAAGCCAGCATTGCTAATGCTATCGTGTGTGTCTAGGTTAAATACACGTTATTATATTAATCAATGTCAACAGCCATGTGTTATACATCCGATTGACAACAGTAATTTAAATAAGTTGTTAAACGACTCTTGTATGAATGGGCATGTTGTAATTAGTAACTACACTTCTGTGAGCAGTGGTACAGTAGTCATACAGCATATATAGGCTACTGTATACAGAGGTGGGAAGTAACTAAGAAAATGTACTCAAGTACTGTACTTAAGTAGAATTTTGAGATACTTGTACTTCACTTGAGTGTTTCCATATTTTTCTACTGTGTACTTCTACTCCACTACAATTCAGAGGTAAATGGTGCACTTTTACTCCACTACATGTGTTTAATAGCTTACCTTTAGTTACTTTACAGATTTGGTTAAGATGCCTATTGGTTACTGGTGGCGTTTCATGAGTTTATGTTTATCAGTTTATTTGTTCATATAGACACCTAAAGTATATCATATATTATATGATATAAATATCTTTATGTGAGATAAGGGATCGTTGCTCACTATGATATGATAAAGGGTGTTATATGCTCCAGGAAGGATACAGTATATTGTTGAATATATATTCAAGATAGCTATATACTGTATATAACATTACATTAATTGTAATTCAATATACATACATCAATCATTTACGGATAAAAGGATAACTTCACCGTTTATGAACATGATGTGTGTTTATACATGATTATATGTGTAGATAACCTGTATAAATAATGGTTAACATGGTGTCAGTGTTGTTCGCTTTGCAGTGTAGTTCTCTCTAACACTTGCATTGTTATTTTACTTCAAGTTTAGATGATCACTAAACCTATAAGCCATAACGAAATGGCAGATGCGGAATGGACGGGCTTTGGCCTTCAGGAGGGATAAACCCGCTCCAAGGAAACGGAAGTGACGTGACCTCTGTCAGAAGGTAAAGTATAGAAACATATGTACCTATTACTTATTATTCACATATGATAAGTATATTACTTAGACCCTCCAGAAAAACGCGGGCAAAATTCCTTGATTATGCGGGCTAAAATCCTTGATTATGCGATTAAACATGCGGGGTTTTTATGTGATTTTATGCGGTGAAATTGCGGGGAAGTGCTTGCGAATAATATGCGCGAAAGTTCGAAATATGCTTAAATATGCGGGGGAGAAAGAATAACAATTTTTTTTAAATATCTGGGCTGTCTACTTATTCTCTCCTCACACCACAACCTGCCACTAACGTTAAACCTACTTCTCACTAGCTTCAATTAACCAGTCAAGTGTTTACTTTATTGTAAAAGCAATTGGGCTATTTAATCTCACACACACCCCCCCCCACCACACCAACACACAGAATTATTACGTTTTACTTAACTATTTATTAGAAAATATAGTAATATCAATGTGGTTAATAGTTAACTGCAAAACACAAGTGTTATTAGTCACAAACGCTACTACTTTGTTGGTCTTTTATTAAAGTGCTTCTGTATATTAAATACTTAGTTAGGCATGCGTACAGAATACGGGGAAAGAGGAGAAGAGAATCGTTTTTTCCTCCTCTTTTTCCTCTCTTTTTGGTCACGCCCGCCGTCACAGGTTCATACCCCCCCTCTACAGTCAGCATGTCGTGGTGTCCGCGCTGGGCAAGACGGCTTCACCCAAATTGCTCATGTCGTGCGGATTGTCCGACGCCGTATTGAGTATGTATGTCGCTGTGGGATAGAAAGGCGGGCTAGACGGAATACACATGGTAATTATGTCATGGGGAAAGAAGTGACGATTGACGCGTGTGGCGGACTGTGTGGAGTTGAGGGAGCGAATGTGCGCATATTTTATACATTGTGTGCAGGTAGAGTTGAAAAGAGGGAAGAATTAGAGGCGGATAAACGTTTTAGAGACAGAGAGGGTGAAAGTAGCTGGTATTGCTGAAGCGAGAAGAGGGGAGACAGGAATAGACACAGAGGGCTACGCAGTTCGGGGAAGGGCGCGAATAACTGACAATATCTCAACACAGTTACGGGTCCCTGAT